GCCTGTCATAGCTGTTCCTATTCCTCCAGCCAGCTGCTATCCCTGTCCTACACAGCACTATACAGTCAGCTGGTGGAGTGTGCCTTCTCTACAGCCTGTTCTTGTTCCTAAAGCCACTGGTTTGTCTGTTCTACACTACTTGACCCTCCCCTCATAATGATTAGCTGCTCCTAAAATGGTTTGTTTTAGCATGAAGGTAGAATTTTCCTACCTCCATGGTTTCAGCATAGAGGTAGAATTTCTACCTCCATGGTTTCAGTTGGACTTCTAGCTCACTCCCATGCCCGTAGCCAGGGGGGGTTCGGGGGTTCGGAAGAACCCCCCTACAAGGCTCAAAGGTCCACTTTTTGGTCCACTTTTTATGTAAAGGTCCACTTTTTGGTCCACTTTTTATGTAAAGGTCCACTTTTTGGTCCACTTTTCTTTGTAAAGGTCCAAGATTTTTCTTGAAAAGATGGACTGGAATCGTAGAAAAACTACTCCCTTTGTCATTGAATAAAAATTTATCTCTGATTTTTCTTGGAAATCCTCTCAAAAATGCACGAAATGCCATTTTAGAAGGTTCATTTTTCAAAATTTTCCGGGGGAGCATGCCCCCGGACCCCCCTAGGAACCTCGCGCCTTCGGCGCTCGCCTCGCGCCTACGGCGCTCGAGGTCCCCTCAAGCAGTGGGAAGAACCCCCCCATTCAAAATCCTGGCTACGGGCATGACTCCAGTAACGTTATGTATATGGTGAGTAAAGTCTGTGATACATGATGTATTCAGTAACTGTTTGGATATAACTGTGTCAGTGGTATATTTTTATACATAGTATGATACCATCTTTCACCCAAATCTGGACATTCATCCTGGAAAATTAGAAATGAATGACAGTCACATGATCAGAGAAACAATGAGGAGCAGTCCTACCTGACTGTAAAGACAGCTACTCTACTCTCTACTCAACTCTAAATGTAACTAATTCTATGTTAGCCTCCTTGGCAGACATGTAACGTTAACGGGGGGTGCCCTAATTCCGACCCATCCCTAATACCGAACTAGTTTGAAAAATCCTTGTTGCGGCGTTATGCATGGGAGCACGTGCCTAAAAATAACCACAAGAATGGACAATGTTTTTGTGTTGATATCGGTAATCTCACAAAGTTTGTTTTAGTTCGTACACTCCGACAACAGACGAGTGAAAAATCTGTGTGAATTCGACGCTTGTTCGGGGGCTGACGAGCGTGTCAAAAATGCAGGTTGTGCTTTTCAAACAGTCGCTTTGGAGCAAGTCGCGTAATTGTAAAAAGAAGACTTGTTTGGGAACAGAAAACAGTTGTGGATTGTTTTAGTCATAATTTGTGTATTATAATTTCTAAACTCTCTTCTCAGATCGACCTGTGTTAAACACTAGGTCGGAATTAGGGCACCCCTGTTGCGATAGAACGTTCCACCGGCAAAATGACCAAAAACCTGCCGTAAGTTTCGCGAACCATTACGCTTGGGTGCAAGCCGCTACACTCAAGTGACATACACAGCTGTGCAGCTTTAATCGTTGTGATCTTTATCTGTCAATATTATATCTCATGTTGCGCGGGTTTTTGGTCAGATAAACTATTGCCAAAGGTCTATGCATTTGCATGGAACATAGGTCGGAATTAGGACACCCCCCGTTAGGGTCCAACTAGGAGGCTCTGCATGCCCTCTTTTGTTAAGCGTTATGGGCTATTTTATTCACCGTTAATCGTTGCCAGCCGACTCTCATTCAACGTTAAGCGTTATCGGTATATTCCTCGTGAAGCGTTATTGGTCATTTTAATTCTACGTAAAGCGTTATTTGTCATCCTAAATTCAGCGTTGAGCATTACTGAATAATTCTTCGTTACGCATAGACCTGTGTACTAGTAGTCAAGCCTCAAGAAGCGGTCGTCACTTTGCCTCTCAAAATGCAGGAAAATGCGTTCTTGAAGGTTTAAAAATGCAAAATTTCCCAGGGGAGCATACCCCCGGACCCCCCTACATTGCTCGCGCCTGCTGCGCTCGGTCCCCCTCTTCAACAGTTCAAGCATTTGTAGGCGCACACAGGTAGCCTCTACCAGGCTTGAGGGCGCGGCTGGAAATAGTAGAAATTAGCCAAATAGAGAGATATAACACGCCGAGGGAGTTTAGCCATCCAGTTTACAGTGGGCCGGCCCACAAACTGTAAACTGGATGGCTAAACTCCCTCGGTGTGTTATATCTCTCTATTTGGCCAATTTCTACTATTTCCAGCCGCGCCCTCAAGCCTGGTAGAGGCTAGCACTCAGGGTCCAAGGCAGGCGTGGAACACAGAGGACACACTGGTGTGAACACACTTCGTTACATACATTTCGTCATCGATCACTCTATCTCACCAATTCAGATACGGAATATAGTGGAGTCCAAAAAAAATATGTGTCAATTTACCATTAAGCGTTACCAACCATCCTGAATTTACCGTTAAGCGTTGTCGGGCCTGCTGAATTTACCGTTGACTGTTATAGGACACCCCCATGCAGACCCTCAACTAGCAAAACTCTGTCCCTGGCATAACTCCCTTGGTGCCGCAAAATCGTCCCTCTGCGGCATAAGTAAAAAAAAAAATGCCGTCCCTACAAGTCTGTAAAGGAGGCTAGACTTACCTAACCTAGTCCAATGACCGACACTAAATAGACTCCTCCTTATTCACCCCCGCGGACTGGTGGGATGATCCCTGACAGATCACTTCCCAGTTCACCAGCACAACTAAACCTGACAAGCTGTCATAGGAACTCAACTTCACAACTCATTCTGTGTTCAGAGAGAAAATAGTGGCAGCCTGAGTGTTGACTTGTAAGCGGTGCACACCACAGTTCTTGCGCGACCGGGGTCCGTGATAGTCCGTTGTAAAAAAGTGACGAAGGGGTTTTGAGGGCCCAAGTTTGATGTGACATTTCTCATAAACTGCCACGAAGTATCATTAAACATTAACATGGCTGAAGAGTGTAAGAAATGGTGATTTTGGGGTGAAAATTTCTTTTGGCTCCGAACCTTACTTCCGGGTATCCTTGCGCGCCAAGTGTAATCCGCCCGTTTGACCTAGATTTCGCTCTGCGCCTTCGTATGGGTGGATTTGCAACCCCTCGCGCCGTGGACTGTTTAGAAAATTGCAGTACTAGAATTTTCTTTATAATTTACTCGGGTATAGTTAAGGCTTGGGTCTTTCTGCCAGCATCAGTCATTTCTGCCGGAAAATTTTTTTCTATGGGATTATCCTACGCGAAAATTCGCAATTTTGGGCATTAATTTTGGAGTGAAAATAATGTTTTTTCCGTTGATTTTACCAAACTTAAAAAGGTTGAAGAAACCAAACTCAGCTGGTCTTGTAGCTGAAGAGATATCCTTTCGTTCCATATACAGTTATTCTCCTTCAGAATTATTCCACGCCAGACACGGTCGCTAGATTTGAGGGTGTGCAGCTTCCGATAGAGACGCCAAATAAACTGGGTGTG